TAAGATAAATGAGAATGTGTTAGTTTCCATCACACAATTCTTGTAGGTACCTTAAATGTGAGAGCGGAAAAGGTAGCTCATATAAGGATTCAGGAGATCGCTTTAGATATGAATCAGTTGGTAAAATTGCCGAACCGTTTTTATGCCGACCAGAGTATTTCAGTCTTTATTTGGTTTTGATTGGGTTAGGTTAGGAGGTCAAGGAGCTCCAAGAGTTTCACCTCCGCTATCTGCGTCACGCTGAGGAAAAAGCGTGACCCCAGGTATTTGAATCGCTTCGACTACAGTTCCGGACGTCGACACAGAATATGGTAAACTATAGGCTTGGGGAGCTGTTTAACTAAAGAGCGAAAGATCCAGGGCGGTTACTATGTAATCCGATTCGAAAGAATTTTCGTCCGAAAACAGATATTCCATACTACCTATTCCGGAATCGAATTGAAATAATCAATTTTCGGATTTCCATATTCGGTTTACGGATATGTACCACTACGTAATCCGAATTTGATTGCCAAAGTTACTCGAAAATTGAAAGTGATTCGAAAGCGTTTGAGCCATCGGATAACTTGTACTGGCGTAGGAAAATACAAAAAAAGTTAAAATAATGAATGCCATGTAACATTTTTGCATAGTTTTGCAATATATGTACTAAAGACATAAAGCAGCGCCACTAGAGCCTAGATAAAAATGTTAAGGCTACGTCTTACTCGTTTGTACGCTTTGTTGATGCCAATCTTTTGTTTTTTTTTTCAACGGAGGGGGAATCTTTCAAAGATGTTATGCACGATTCGTCATCCTGTCCGCTAAGGGTACACCTCATTCGGGACCATGCCCAGACCAGAGAACGTAGATAACAAGAAGGGACAACCCGTTATAATTGTGGCGAAAGTGCGCAACAGGGGCGTGCCTTCTCTTTTCATCCAATCAAAAAACGCACTAGGGCAAAAGAGAAGGCACGCCCCAGTTGCGCACTTTCGCTACAATTATAACGAGTTGTCCCTTCTTGTTATCTACGTTCTTTGCCCAGACTATGTTATCGCATAATTCAGGACTTGCGAGACAGCGCGCCTACGTACTAAACCCTTAATTCCGACGTCTGAAGCTTGTGTTTGGCCTTGCTGGTTAGGTATTACGTCGTAGCTTTGCCAATTGGCTCTTCACATACGCCTTTCTGGGCTACCTCTCGTTCAGTCTTCTATTATCAGTTCCTGAAGGAATATAGCGGACCACGCTTGGCGCGCAATGTTTTCTGGCGTTTATAAGTTTTTCTAGCTCTGTCGGCGTCATACTTCGAGCAGAAAAAGAAAATGTGTTGCACGTTTTCACCGCTACTACCGCAGAAAGAACACTCTGTCCCGTTATCGTGTCCGCACTTGTTCAGATATTCTCTAAAACAGCCGTGCCCCGTCAGAAACTGCGTTTAAGCTAGTCTGTCTTTCTTCTTTCCGTTTTTCAACTGTTAGTCGCCTGCCGATGTTTCTTGACTTGTCGAAAATTTTCTTAATTTTCAGAAAAATATAACAAATAAATCAAGGAAATAGCAATAATGATATGCAAGTACGTAGGTGAAAAATGAATTTCTGAATTCTTTTTTTGTTTAAACTTGTACGTTACGTTATTTTTTCAACTTTATATCTAGCCTAATATTAGTAAATACTTGTTGTGCTAGTGTCCTTTCAAATAAATACAAATATAAGCAGCTGTGATTAGAAAAAAATATATAGCAAAAACTAAACAAATTTTTTAAACTAAAATTTTTTCCGATATCGCCATATTGGATCCGCCATTTTATTTAAAAAAATCGGACCTCAGATTTTAAATCATAGAATTCGAAAACCCCCCTTACATATGTCTTTGGTAAAAAAAAAATATAAAATTTGGTAGCCATATTGGATCCGCCATTTTGAATTTAAAAATTCTGCTATCAGATTCGAAATCAGCGCCCTCGAAAACTCTCAATTTATATGAGTTTATGCTGAAAAGGAAAAAGTTATAAAACTTGGTCGCCATACTGGATCCGCCTTTTTGAATTTCGAAAATCTGACATTATATTCGAAATCATCGACCTCAAAAACCCCCAAACACTAAGTTTCAAATCAATTTCGTTACTTCTCGACTTTTGGTCAGCAGATGATAGTCGCCAGACCATTGAGCACTGTATAGGTTAAGCACTGTATAGGTTAAGCACTCGTTCAATGTTCTAATAATTTACAAAATTTTTAAGTAATAAAAACGATGACTTAAGTATATCATAGCTTTTTTAATGTTATTCCTAACAATCGCGTTCGCAATCGCGAATGTGAAAAATATAACATTCGAAACATCCCTAGTTCGTATGCACATTAATAAATATAAAATGCCAAACAAGTACGTACTATTTAGTACAAACTACGTAAATATGTACATATGTATGTAGCTCATTAAAATGAAAAATACATACACTGCCGGAACAAAGTATTGGCACAGCAAATTTTTCACAATATATGCAACAATTTTTATTCTAATATTTTTCCGCCAATTTTGTATAAAAATATGGTTCATTCAACAAAAAAAAAACATACAAATATAATTCCTAAACTTTGTGCAAAACTCGCGAAAATTCAGCAAATTTTAATCAAAACTTTCAACTTTTCAATCAGATTTTTTAGAATTTTTTGAGCATAAAAGACATAAAAACTAAATCTCTAAACTTTGTGCAAAACTCAAACAGATTAAAAAAAAATCTAAGTTTGCGGTTTTATAGCCCATCTAATTTTAGTACGACAAAGTGCAAGCTTGAAGGTGTTAAAAAAGCGCGTTGGTTTTTGGCAATTTTATTTTTATTAAAAAATGTTGAAAATAAATTAGAATAAAAAACTCTGCATATAATGCGAAAAATTCTCTGTGCCAATACTTTTGTCCGGCACTGTATGTATTAATTATTTTCTAATTTTTGTATACATACATATGTAACAGCAATTATCAGATTCCAGGTTAATCAGGTTATGTTTAATCAGTTTGCGATTAATCAAATTAATTAGATTCTGATTAATCAGTATGTAATTAATCGGAAAATTAATCATTTCGATTAATCAAAAATTATTATTCTTTGATTAATTAATTTATCGGCTTTCGATTAATCACCTGTTCGATTATTTGATTAATCTCACATCCCTAGTAATGAGTGAAAAGTTTGAAATTTCATGTTTCTATATCTGAACAACCAGAACAGATTATAGTAACCCGAAAAAATAGAGCGAAATTGCGTGTTCCTAGCTGCATAAATGGAGGAAAATCTCATAACCGAACAATCAGTTGTATGGGAGCTATATGTTATAGTGACCCGATCTTTGTCATTTTCACTGTACCCCTGTCCACTTTTAGTTCATACACTTTGAAATATTTCTGCTTCAAGATTTGATGCATTAAAAATGTGAAGCCTATGAACTAAAGGTGGGCAGGGTGGTAAGTATTCTGTTGAAAATGATTGAAAAGAGTTATGACGAAAAATCTCACATCTAAACAATCGGTTCTGTGGGAGCTATATGTTATAGGGGTTCGATTTTCCGGGTCCGACAAATGATTAATACATTATACAGACATACAGACTGGCCGACAGCTCGATATTCTGATCATATAAGTATACATGTTCATGTGTCTATCCCTTCTTATTCTGGTACTTACAAATATCAAAAAAATTATAATTTCCTTAGGACATTTCGTTATTTTAATTAGTATAATTTTCTGAACAAGACGGTACTTTTTATCCGTTAGAGAATCATTTCGACCCCAAGTACCAGACTTAGGGCCGGTTGTTCAATGTCTGGTTATCACTACTTGCCGGTTAAACATCATTATCCACGATTTCGACATCATGCATATAACATGTGATCGATAAATCAGTCGTTGTATTTAACCGGAGGTTCTACCTCCGATTTTTGCTAATCAGGCATTGAACAACCGGCCCTTAATGGTCTAAGAGCAGAATAGCTTTACTTTAACTTGTTCCAATTATTATTTTATTTATTTTTTTATAAAGAGACACTTTAGTCCCCCTCTAAATATTCCGAGATTGTCTTCGAATTTATAGGAAGATGTGAAGTCTTCGAGCATCTTTTTAAACGCTACAACCTTCCATTCACAGTTATTTACTTACCTCGATAGTCACAAATTTTTTTTAATCAAAAGTGCTCCTCGTGAAGTTCGCAAATATAACTTATTAAACTTTATTAGCTTTCAAGTAATTTATATAGTTTATCTGTATGCATAAGAAAAAATAAACATTTTATTTTTAATAAAAGTTGGAAGGTACATATTTCTTTAGTGATTTGAGTTACATACATGTTTGGTTTCACATTTACGAAATTCCAAGTAAAACATTAAGTAATAGTTAAATATCTACTTGAGGCCAATGTTACTTACTTACGCTGAAATGTGGCCACATCATCCAATATCTTGGCCGTCATAAATCGCGAATTTGGGCGCGATGACGGAGACGTACTTGCACTACTTGTATGGCTGCCGCCATCGGGAGACAGAGGTACATGAGTTGGCGAACGCGCTGGAACTAAAAGAAATTCGTTGAACAAAAATTCAGCATCCATGGATTGCGTTTTGTTATGGAAGTCTCGCGGAATCCGTTTCGGTGGCTCTATGAAACGTTCCTTAACAATCAAAGCACCAGGGCGAGGTAGACCACTAGCACCATGATCTAAACCAACAGTAGAACTGCGAGCTGCCGCCGCCGCTGTTGTTGTAACACCAGGAGTGGGCTGCGAGACAATGGAGATCGGTGCTGCTTTATGCAGTGGTGATCCTGTGACCGACGCAGAAGGCGAGCCCTCACACACCGAACTTTTTAGATTGATGCAAGACTGTGTGTGACTGACATCGTCCAATTCTGAAGCATTGTGTGGCATTCGTTTAAGTGTATTACTTGCAAATGGGAAATTCGAATTAGAAGTGGATTGTGTAAGAGTTTCAAACTTGCGCAAACGAGCATCCTGTTTTAGGATGGAAGCAGAGGGGATGTTAATGGATGCATGTAAATTGGAGTACTCCTTTTGGCGTTCATAGTCGCCGCCCTCGAAGAGACTTATTTGTTTCTTAATTTTTGGAGAAATGGGATCTGTTGCTTTGCGCGCACCACGACGCTGGGTGAAATCGCCACAGAGCGGAAGTGGTGGCAAAGATGTGGGCTCACCAAATAAATTTGATTCTGGCGAAGAACTTATAATTTTCGTAACTGATATTTCAAGTGATTTCGGGAGTGCACCAACTGTATCCTCGACATCGGGGGGTTCAGCCATTTCGGCATGAGTAGGGCAACAATAGCATGCTTCAAGTTTGGGATCATCCATCGGTAAAGATGGCGTTGTAGCGGCTGAGAGCGTAGTTTCATCTTCATCTTCGAAGCCCTAAGTTTGAGAATAAGATAAAAGAAGGAAATTCAAAACTAATTTATAAAGTTAATAAATCAGTTAAAGGATTCTACGATGGATTAATTGTGCATGCAGTGACTTCACCTCGCATTTAAATTGAAAGCTTATAGCTTTGCAAATCTATTGTTAGAGGTTGATCCTAATACATGTAAGAACGTATTTTTTGAAAAAACTGTATTTAAGAGGTATGGAATACATATAAGCCCTTTTTATTCACTATTTAATGAAAGCCTTAGATGCCCATAAGATATGTAATTAAGGTAGGCCTTCTCAAGTGAAGCCATTCTAAAAGGCTTGCCCATGAAGCGTTAAAAAAATGGCGTTTCTATTTACAATTTACTTTATATTATTTAGCAATACAGATCGATTTCAATATGCATTTTTTGTTTCCATAAAACCTATTTGATATGAACCTTTAATAAACACCGTAAAGAAGTATGGTTTTTATGAATTAGAGAAGTAACTATAGCCGAACTCCTAAAAAGGCCTCTGAAGTAAGTCTTACAAAAGTCCTTCTGGAAGCTCTTCTATGGGTAGCCAAAGCAGAAGCCTTTCAATGTGTGCCACTCCACACAAAAAAGAAAGCAGAAAGTAGTGCGGAATGGAAGGGTCTTGACTCTCAGCAAGACCTTTTGGAAGGGCTTTTGGCTCCTGAAAGAACCGTTTAGAGCTTAAAATTTAATGGTTTTTCTAAAGAAAATGGATTCAATTGGATAAAGTTTGGGTTTACTCACATCAACGGAAAGTGTCATCGATCCTTTGTTCGCAATCATGCTTATGTCCATACCAAAGCTGACCGGTGTAAGGCAAGCGCTCACATCACCACGACTACTGCCGCCTCCAAAGGTAAATACGCCATCAGCATCTATGTCCAAAGCGTCTGCATTCATAGGAGTGTACACGGATACCGCATTCAAATCTTCGTCCTCGAGTTGTGGAAAAAATCTGGCAAGCTCCTCTGCTACGGGCATTATGTTAACGCTACTTTTTGTTTTTTTATTTTACCATTTATTTTTTACAAAAAGTGCAAATTTTTTTACAATTCAGCCGGTTCAAATAATTACATTTTTTCAAAATAATTAAAAGAACAAAATATGAATATGAAGAAAAATTATAGAAATTCAAGAAAGCATAGCGTGAGCTTCAACATTTAGACATCGATATTTGTATTTATGTATACTCATAAATTCATACTGACCCCTCAGCGCTGGTTACACTAATCGACAAATCGGCACTGGGTATTTCATGCGAATAACTTTCCGAAATGGCTGGGGATGAGGGTTCAGTACTGCTGGCGACACTCGATTGCTGGCTCCAGACTTGCAATGATTTTTTGAGGTTGTACCATTCATTTATTTTACAATATTAGTTAGTGTTTTTAATGAAATTTTTTCATTGGCTTTTGTACTTGCAACTGAAAATGCATTCGAGCAAAGTCGCTAAATACATACATATATGCAGAAAGAAAGCATTCCGTACTATGTACAAAAAACGTGTTTAACAGTGCTGTCTTATAGAGAAAACCTGGAAATTTTTGTTTACAAAAAACATAAAATACATCCCTCAAAACGCTAGAATATTTTTGCGGTGATAAAAAGTCGTTTTTCCCTTTTAAAAGTAATCGGTGTGGGTTATGCCCCGTGCATCCCAAAAAAAAAACACATTCACCATAACCTTGTTATCCAACAGATTCACATCTAACTTCTTCATTACTGATTCATTTCGAAAACCATGCTGTTGCGATTGCTGCTTGCCCTCGAGTGTGTTGTTGTGGATCCGTGCTTCGGATTTGGATATGAAACGTCGCAAAAACCTCATACGGATGGCAGTTAAACAATGCCAGGCCTTTTAAACTGTCACACTATTGAGATTGTAAGTAATTGTAAAGACGACACACGTTTGGTCAATATCTTTGTCACAACTAAGTGCTCATCCAAAATAAATACAGACACATACAATGAACCATGTAATATGCATATGGGTGTTTCCATGAAAATGTCAACCAGGACTGAAAAAATAAAAACAACTGAAAAGGGTTTTTAAGACGAATTAATAAGAGAAAAATACTCGAATTTTTATATTATAGAAGTATTTCAGCTTATTGGAATTTTAAAACTCAAAAATGGAAGAGTAAAACTGAATGTCTCTTCGACTCAGTTTTCTCTAATGAAATGAACTATTTTCTCTTTCCTATTAACTAAATTAAGAGATTTGAAACATTACAATTACATCTTAAAATCTAATTTGCAATAACAACTAACTATAAAAATGAGAAAAAGGAGAAGTTAGAGCTCGAATAACGGTAATTTTTTGATTTGCTTCTGATAGTACTCTAATGTCGCGTACGTTATGCAAAAACATTGTTTGTCTATGTCATTTGTATATTGGCAGTCGCAGGTAATGCAGATTACAATTCTTAAGCGAGAATTCTTCTAGTTAAAGATATACAGTAAAATTTTCTTTCCAACCGAAGTAAAAATATATTTTATTACCCTTTAAAGTTTGTCGCATACGTTATTGTAAGTACGAAAATTTCAATCAAATACATCAAAACCAATGTTAATTGCAAATTTTCCATTTAAATTATTTAGAATAGTTGTAAAACAATGAAACGGTGGCGAGAAGTGTTCTCAATAAATACATTTTATTACTTACGAGAAAAATTGTCGCGTACGTTATTGTTTTTTTTAATATAAAACTAGCCAGAGATAATTTCTCTTAAAATATGAAAGGATTGTAAAGGTACATTATTTAGCTTAGTTTAGGAATTTTTAAAGAAAAGAAAAACTCCCATGATTCGCAGACTTTCGCATGTATGCGTGTTTCCATGAAAATGTAAACCGAAAATGCAAGCAAATGAATTCAAACGGCTTTATAACTTTAAGTTTCGTATTCAGATGGCGGAAAAAGGTTTTGAAAACGCGAAACGGTGGAGAGAAGAACTGAAAAAATTTAATTTAGTATGTGTTACTAGTAAAAATATTGTATGGGGGAAAAATCTGTCGCGTACGTTATTATAATTTTTTTAAATAAAAACTAACCAGAGATAATTTCTATCAAAAAATGGAAGGATTGTAAAGGTACATTATTTAGCTTAGTTTAGGAATTTTTAAAGAAAAGAAAAACTCTCATGATTCGCAGACTTTCGCATATATGTATATAAAACTACTTCTTTTTTGTCGCGTACGTTATCACCTGGTTTTGAACGGATATTTTCCACACCAAAGTTTCGAGACTGCATATTTTTTTCTCAAACATAGTACCCTTTGGTTGCAACATAACCGTAATCTCTTTTTTCTGTAACTTCTATTTTTGATAGATTTACGTTACTCCATAAGCGTACGAATGTCGCGTACGGCTGTATGGAAACACCCATATGTATGTAGACTATGATCGGTCTTCTTAAATATCGAGCACTAAAACGAAATTTCAATTGTTTCGGATGTAGTCACCTTAAATTTCCATGCCGTCTAGAACGTTCGGCGTCTTTCGTGCTTTACTACTAACATGTATGTGGTAGTTGCCGATATCGTCAAGGAAAGCGTCAATGTAAAATGGTTCGTTTGAAGGCGACCGTTCCAGAAGAGGACAAAACCGCTCAGTCAACACGACCAAGAATCTCAATATCATCAAGAATCACACAGAACTGGTGCAGAACCCATTTTCCAGACTTCATCTCGTCTGTGGAATAGCCACACGCCGGATCTTAACCCAATGGACTACAGGTTGTGGTCGATTTTAGAGGCCAGAGCATGTGCTAAGCGCCGCAACAATTTGGAGGCACTGAAGCCATTGCTGCGCCGGGAATGGGACCAATTGTCTTCAGAAAACCTGCGGCCCATCGTCGAAAATTTTAAACCACGTTTGTATTTCTGTATCGCCGCCAAGGAGGGCCACTTTGAAACTGGCTGACTATTACTACGTTTATACGCACGTAATATTTGCAAATAACAATTTGCAAAATGGTAAAATTTGCCGTATAAACGCTGAGTTAATTTTTTATTTGCAAATAACTAAATCACGTAAATAAGTATTGATTAGTGGTACTATTTGCAAATAAGCGCAAGACGCCGCCATTCTTAGGTTAATTTTTCGATGATCATCTCATTGCCTTTTTATAATCAAGACGTTGCCATTTTTTAACTTTATTTTCTTTTTCGATTGTCATATTATTGCCTTTTTATAATAAGGCAATATTAAAAAAGAATTTTTCACCATCGAATAAACAGTGAGTTAGGTATTTGCAAATTATTTTTATTTGCAAATAGCTTACGTATAAACGTAGTATATGTTGCTAATAAATATCCATGTTACTGTCATTTATAGTTTTTTTATGAATTGTTTCCGTTTAAAAAATTTATGATAGAAAACGTTAGTACATGTTATTTATTGTCCCCTGTATATGTATATATATGTTTGCGTATTGAAAGTATGATTTGAGAACCTAATGGTATTGTTGCCGTTTCTTTATTAGCCTATATTTCTTCTTGGCGTGGTATACAAAATGCAAAATTTAGGAGGATTTTACTTCATACGCAGTGGTAGTTCCACAAAAATATATGCATACTAGACTCCATACAAAAGAATATAGCACTTTAAAAGCGGGTTTTAGTGTGTCAAGGGCACATTTTTCTGACGCTTTCAAAGTGATGGGGTAATTACATCCGCTTTTTGACTAAAGCTGTTTTAAACTTTCTTATAAAGTAAGATGTCCACCTGTATTTTTCAGTCCGAATAAAAACTGAGGCAATATTTAAGCTAAATTTGTCGACAGTACAAAATAATGTTTAACTGCATGTTAAATCCTCCACAGAGGCTTGTCTATTTACGATTTACTTTACATACAATAATTTCATACACACAAAAAGTTGTAGTCGTGGAAAATCTATGTGGAAGCGTAATTGTTTTTTATATCAAAATATGTTGAAATTACGAGAAGAAAATATATAAATATAACTGGAAGTGCTAATTACATTCAAGCAAAATTATAAAAAAAAAATAGAAAACGCTGTGCTTCAAAAGCATGATTGATTAATTAAAGGTTTGCTCACTAGTGACATTAAGAGTTTTGACACTCCCTTAACTCCCTTACCAAAGGTTGCACACACACACGCACCCACACACTAAAGGAGCCTATTTTGTCAAGAGGGAGCGAGAAAACTGTTTTCTGAGCAAACCTTTTGTTATTGAATCATGCTTCAAGAGAATGTTTTTGTGTTCGCATAACAATATGTAGACTCAAAGAATACACAAAATATATGTATGTATGTACATGTAAATGAATCTATAAATACATATTGAAAAATTACTTAAAGTTACAGAAAAGATATGTACATATGTAAAAGCTCAGTTAGTCTAGACTTAACTCAAATTAACTTACCGTAAGAAATCATCAATGATTACTCTACACGTCAACTTAAGCCAAGAGCGGAAATATTTTGTTTTTGTATTTTCTCTTTCAGCTGTATAACAGTTCGCCGAATAAAATGCCACATCAAAAAAAAATCATGCAAACAAAAATTTTTGCTTTCATTTATTTTTAAGAAATACAAAAACGAGAGTCTGGCAAGCCTGATTCTCTCACCGCTCTCAATTTCCGTAAGACCGTAACTAAGGAACCTAAAATCTACAGGTTCTTAAGTTTCTTACAGTAAGTTAAGTTTTAACTAACCGCAAACACAATTTCTCATATAACAGGTTGGCCAAAATATTAAGTTAAGTTAAGTTACGGAAATTAAGTCTAGACTAACTGAGCTTTAAGTATGTAGATAGTTTAATTTAAAATTATAATTTTGCATACAAATCTTTTTGTGGTGTTTTGCGAATAGCAAAAGTGAAAAGAGCTTTCAACAACACCAATAAAATAAGCTCACTACAGCAATCGCAATTAAAATATTTCGATAACTATAATCCCTCGGACTTACTTCCCACATTTGGTTGAGCTGATTGTGGCGCATTTGCATTGCTTGGAGCTGCTGATGCCACCGTCTCCTGTGGGGCATTTATCAATGCTGCGGCTGATGGTGGTGGTTGATGCAAACACACTGCGTTTCTCAAAGTTGACTCTAGGATCGGTTGCCCTTGTCCGTCCGCCATTTCCTGGCAATGACACTCGCTGTCACTTTCACCGGACATAAAACTTGTAATCGCATCCAACGAGTACATTGACTGCAATGCACCTTGTACTATGTTCTGTTGGGGTGTTGATGGATGTTTTGGCGGCGATGATGCTGGCGTCTTGAATAGTGGCGAAGTAGTCATTTTATGTAGAAATTGATCAAGCTGCTTTAGCGAAAGTGCATTGTGTAGCGTCTCCAATGGTCGAATTGGTGGTACACCGCCGAAACCTTCAAGCACTATGTGCCAAGTTCCGTGGCGAATCGATGAGATAAATACAATAAAAAGAAAATTGGGTTAGAAAATGTATACCTATTATTTGTTCAGAATTTTGCAATACAAAAACTAAATATCTTACTAGATCTACTTGGAAGTACACAGTTTACATACAGTAACAGTAAAAGTAGTGTGCTAGTGATTGAAGTGATTCTCACGGCACAAATGCACTAGAAGTTGTGCCAATACGTCATTTTAGAAATATACTCGGCGACTTGAAATTACTTGAGGCCAGGTTTTGACTGTCTTTTTTTAACTATTATTTTTATTAGAAGAAAATAAAACTATCTCTTCAGGATCATGAAACTAAAGATATTTAAAGAAAAATTAAAACGAATAACACAAAAACACAACCGGCTCAATTCTAATTTAAAAATTTAGGAGTTCCGTTAATTTCTTCATGATCCCATGATCGAATCTAAACCAAAATAGTATGAAATCACCTTTCCGATAAAAAAAGAATGTGGTCCAAAGATATTCGTAAAAGTTAGACATAAAAAAAAAATATTTCGACGAACTGATAACCTCCTCCTTTTATTTGAACCCGGTTAAAAATTACACTCATACAGTCCTTCTAGCGCCGCAGAGTGGGGCAAAAAAGGTTGCTGTGGACAAATCAATTTTGAGAGTCCAAATATGAACCGATTTCAAATTTATTTTTTTTTAAATAAAAGATGATTAAATTTCGTGTCGATCTGTCTGTGGCGATTTTTTAAAACAGCCCTGGTTTTTTATTTATTTATGTTGAAAAATGAAAGAAAAAAAAATTTCACGTTTGAATGCTTCCACTTTTTTTGAAAATACTTGAAATTAATTTCAAATGCCTGCAATTATTTAAAAAAACTATTCATAAATATTTTTCCATAGGAAACATTTAATAAAAAAATATTTTTAATTTGCCATCTATACTGATATATATTTTGAAAGCCGTTTTTTTTCTAATCGAAAAACTCGAGAACAGCTGTACCGATATTTTTGAAATTTTGGACATCGACTCTAGACCCTCAAAGGATGATAATAGAAGAAGAATAATTTCGATATATCAAGGGGCGTGGCACCTCCCATACAAACTAAAGTTTTCACACAACATATCTATGGAAGTATTCATCGTAGAGTGCTGCAACTTAGTATACAGTATATATCTCTCAACGCCAAACTCATGGAAAAAATGGGAGTTATTGAAAAAGGGGGCGTGGCGTGAATGTGTATGTGGTGTGAGAAAATTATAAATTAAAAACGTATTTAGTTACCTTCGATGACGTGTTATTAAATGAAAAATACTAGTGAAAAATATTTCGTTCAGTTTGACGTTATTTTTTCGAAAAATACAATGCCTACTGCTTGCGTAACCATATGGTCACGCTGGAGTTATTCGAGTTAAGATGCTGAGAAAAGAAGACGAAAACTTGACAGCTTTGGAGCAGGTTAGAGTAAATGCAACATTATTTCGAGAAAAAAAAAAAACGCTATAAGATTCGCCTTGACCTTTAAAACAACTGTAAAGTCTAAAGCATGATATAAAAATGATTTTCTTCAGATAAGCCGATTTTTTTCCAATTGAGGTAAAGATAAATACTTAAGCTAGTGTGAAGTGATATTTTTTTTACTAATTAATTTACTCCTTTAATTTATGCAGAAGAAATTAATCCAATGGTTTATTGGTAGAGCTGTGGCAAACTGTATGTATTCGTTACTGAGTAACGGGTACAATCCCTGACTCGAAGTACCGAATCGTTACTCACATAATAATCTCGTTACTCGCATGTTCCGTATATGCACCATTAACGTGAATCAATTCAACGCAACATATTGTGCGGGAACGAAACTGTTGTTCGTATCGATGCTAAAAAAGCTGTGTTAAAGCGTGTATATGTACGTACTAGGGTTGTTGCGAATGTGGAATTTTAGACATCCGCGGATGCGAATGCGGATGCGAATATCTAACAGCTAACATCCGCGGATGCGGATGCGAATGCGGATGTCAAGTATTTTTAAGAAACAATTAGAATTTAGCATAATGGCGAGATCGTTGTTTAAACAGCGCTTACAAGCCAAACCAGATGTGTCAGGTTTTTGTAATGGTGATTTCGTTTCTACCAAAAAAAATTTCGCCTTTTCATTGCCCGTCTCTTTTTGTGTTCGATTCTAAATGAAAGGCAAAGGGTGAGGAAATTTTGTGTTCGTTTCTTAAAATGTTACATTACTGTAAGGCAAAAATCACATTCCATGCCCTGTGATGCTTTGTCATGGAAGATGGTTGCCCTGAAAATAAGATGGTTGTTTAAAACAGCAATATTATGAAATGGGTGAGCTAGACAAGGACAAGAAGGCAAAAATACGCTTTTTACAGGGTTGTGTGTAACAAACACACTTTGCGCCGGGGAAGGGCAAGATTTTTTCGAAGAAACGAAATCGTCATAAAGCTTTTTAAAAAGAATTCTTCATTCTCATTCCTTTGGCTATTTCAGAATTTGGGGAATCTGTAGCTTCATCAGCGTTTTTCGGATCCAGTTTCTGTAATTCATTTTTAATACTTTATTCCGCGGCTGGTTTGAAAAATTTGTACTTATAGCGAGCTGTGGAAAATAAATTATTATTTTCCAGGAATGAAAATGTTGAACAAAATTCTGTTTTCAAAGTCGTGACTGCCAGCCGAATCGGATCAGAATATTGTTATTTTTTTAAAACAGCACCCTGCTTTGTTATAAGCATTTGAATCCGAGATAGTTACGTTATTCTTATTTTATTAAAGGTCAAACCCATAGTTTTTTTATTATTTGAGCATCGATTCTCTTTCTAGCCAGACCTTGACCATTTCTGCTGGAAATCAGTATTGAAGGAGCTTACTCTTTGACTTTAAATAGCAAAGAAGGGGCAGTTTTACCACCGCAGTTTTTGGTCAATGTATGTCTCTATGAAAAGTATATTGCCCGACAAGTAAACAAAATTACTGTTTTTAAAATTTTTCTAAAAATAAATTCCTTAAAGAGCCCCATTTGAAATTATTGAAACGAATATATGTAACATCAAAAGCAAATCACGAAAATGTGGTTAGGAATTACAGTACACATTTTCTTATTTTTTGTCAAGTAGTTTTTTTAAGATTGATCCAACAAAACCATAATAAAGAAAGAAACCAATACAGGTATTTAAAGCACACAAAAAAATTGGTAAAAAGGCTATGTTCTCTTTGATGTACGTCAAAGGTCAGGTATTGATAGCTCGGCTAGCTAAAGAAATAATATGTTTAAAGACATTTTTATCAGAGTTGATAAAGTTTTGTTACACAAATATTCCCACGACCACAGGCAAAAATATTGGCTACAATTTGTCGTTTTGTTTGCCATATAGGTATACGTTTTATCGGTGCACTTGCACAACATTAGCATTCGCAAAAGCTCCGCATTGATTATTGCGAATGCGAATGTTAAAATTAATGCGGAAGCTCCGCGGTTACGAATGCGAAAGCGAATATTCGCAACAACCCTGGTACGTACATGCATGCATATGTACGAATGAACATTTCCGTACGCTGCAATATTCGTTGCGATGATTCGTGTGAGGTACAAGTGCTTACATCAAAAGTAAAGAGTAAAGTAACGATACGAAAGATACGGGTGTTGATTGGAGTAGTAAGGAATACATACGGGTATCGAAATTTTCGTTACTTTTACAGCTATATTTATGGGAGAAAAATAAGTACTTTTTGGTATCTGGGCAAGGCTTCCTCAAGTAGGCACCGAATTTACCAACATTCATATTTTTCAATGATATTCAGGCAGCGCCGAGTGATTTATTCGAACAGTACACTATGTAATTTTTGTTGCAAAATTCCAAATAGTTTTTTTCTTAATAAATTTTAAAATTTTTTGGGTGCAGATTTAAGAAACATTAAACTATGCAATGAAATTATTTGTGTTACAAAATATTTTTTTGTTTGCTTTTCAATAATTTTTTATGAAAAATTGAACTTTTAAGCAATTTCAGCGCCTCGCGGACGAAAATTTTTAACAACAACTTATGTAATAAACATTTCTGCATTTATCTATGAAAAAAATGCGTGCATTTCGATATAGTTGGGTCGGAGAGAATTTTTATTTGCCAGCGTGCGTGCCCGAATCGCGTGGCTGGATCGCGCGCAATCCGTGTTGACTTCTTGCGCAAGAAAGAAACGCACGTTTGAATCGTTCCACTTTTATTTCTCATGCTCGAATTTCGCATGCCCGCGGGAGTCGGGCGCGCACGCTGGCAAATAAAAATTCATTCCGACCCAACTATATCGAAATGCACGCATTTTTTCATAGATAAATGCCGAAATGTTTATTACATAAGTTGTTGTTAAAAATTTTCGTCCACGAGGCGCAGAAATTGCTTAAAATTTCAATTTTTCATAAAAAATGATTGAAAAGCAAACCAAAAAAATATTTTTGTAGCACAAATAATTTCATTGTATAGTTTAATGTTTCTTAAATTTGCACCCAACAAATTTTTTCATTCGGACATTTACTTTCAAAGAAAAATAAAAATTTCCAAAACACTGCAAAAATTTTCAATTGTTGATTAAAAAAAACTATTTGGAATTTTGTAACAAAAATTACACAGTGTACTGTTCGACTACGAAACTTGGCGCTGCCTGAATATCATTGAAAAATATTTATGTTGGTAAATACGGTGCCCACTTGAGGAAGCCTTACTCATCTTTAATTTTAATTTGATTTTTGATCTTGAAAATGTCGTGTTTTCAACGAATTTGTGCAACATGTGAGCAGCCGCTTTCAACGCGAATAAAACCGTCAAATTAAAACCCAGTACTAGAAATTTAAATTTTATAATGGTACATCTAACGATCTGCATTAAAACTTTTTAATACGTTACAAAAATTTTTGTACAGGATTTGTATTTATGCTCTGATTTGTTTCACATTTGGCATGTTAGTTGAAACGTAATAAGACATAGATTTGCA